CCGTGGTGGTAACCAGTGCTCCGCCGTTCTGGAACCAGATGCCCCGCATTTGTGTCCTGAAGCCTCCCTGCACACACTGGGCTCACAGTGTGTGTGGGCCTGTGATCTGGGCTGGCCGAAGATGGGGAAATGGATGGTCTGAAGACTCTGGGTGTCTGTCTCTGTCTCTCACGGAAGAGATAAATAAACTGGAGGAAAGAAAGAGTTCTATTTATGGCCCAACCCACCAGCGATTTCAGATGTCTCAGCCACCAGAGTAGATTCAGAAAGTAACCACTTCTTTCCTGTTCTGCCACTGCCCTGGTCGTCTTAGCGGTGTTGTCTCACCATTGCAACTAGAATAAAGTTCATGTTCCTCTGGTGCCTACAAGCCCCTCTGGGCTCTTCTCCACTGGTTAGCCTTCTGCCTGCTGTCCCTAAGGGCTCCTCAGTCTCAGCCACAGCAACATCCTGCCTGTCCTTCAGACTCTCAGCACTTTCTCACCTCAGGGCCTTTGCACTTGGAGTTTCCACTACTCCACGCTCCCACCCTTGTCCTGTCCCCACAAGGCCTCCTCCTGATCTTCATTCACATCTCAGTTCAAGTGACCCTTCCTCCAAGGCCTCCCAGTGGAGGTACACTCTCACGCTCTGCACCAGCACTGCATATCCTTTTTCATGTCCTGTCAGGACCTGATTCTACGTCCTTTGTGAAGTGAGGCTGCTTTGCCAATTTCATTAGAGCACAGAAACGGTCCTTTTTTAGTTGCCAGATTTTTAAATTGTGCTTGTCACCAAGTGACACAGAGAGTAAATTTTCCTTCTTGAGTACATTTACAGAAAATTAAAGAGGGAAAAGCATCACGTAGGTATTAGCCCAGGTGATGGAAAATATGGCAAATACCTTGAGGCAGGACAGGCCACGAATTAAACAGGCTCCCTGACCTGAGGCCTGGAGGTCACGCGGACCCTGTGACATTCACTTCTCTTTCAGGAATGCTTTCGCCACCTAAGTGACAACCATGTGAAATTTCAGGGTTGGGGCAATTTAAGGTCAGTGGGATGATTTCTTTGCCAGAAGGCAAGAGGGGACATTAGTTAGAATTTCCCTGAAAGCATTTTTAATGAGTTTCAGACCATTTGAACAATCCCAAGGAAGTACTTCCCAAAATAGGCAAAAGCAGAGTGGTAGTCATAGACTCCATCCACAGGTATTTTACTCTCCTTCTGTCTCTCAATACTGTCAGGCTGCTGCCCTCCCTTCTTCTCCAGTCAGGCTGGCTCCACAGTCTGTCGCCAGAGCAGTTGCACCCGATCCCTGACTTTCTGTGCTTGGAATTTCAGCTTCTGGGGATGCTGTCTTGACACTGGTGACAGTTTTATCTTCACATTTGTGTTCCTAAGTCAAGTCTAGGGGGCGATGGGCAGGCATGGAGGACCTGGAGCCTCAGCTGGCCCTTCCTGTCAGCTCTCTGTCTCTTCGCTGCCTGTACCCACACCCTGTGTCCAGAGGCCTGTTCCTGGCCTGCCTGCAGTATTTTATCTGAAGGGGAGCAGAAGCCCTCAGGCCTGAGCAAGTATACACATCCTCGCTTGGAGAGAGGTAGGCTTTGACTCTGAAAGGAAGAGTTATCAAAGACTTTGCAGACATGTGGGTTTGTGTGCATGTGTATGTATGTACATATTTTAAAGTCTATTTATTTATTCCATGTGAGAAACACAGAAGCACCCCACTAGGGTCTGAAGCTGCGATCTACTGCCAACCTCAGCCAGACCATGTCACAGGCATATACCCCCAATGTGCACAGGATGACCTTGGGACACCCAGGGCCTTCCCCATGTGGATCCAGTTGCGTTACTGTGGCATCACCACCTGGCCCTGTGGATTTATTTTAACAGGAAGTTTAAAAATTCAAATAATTGTAGTCTGTTAAGAGAACCCTAAACTATCAAGAGGCATCAGCCCTGTGGTCCTTTTGTTTCTAATTGACTCTCAGCATGCTCAAGTGACAGGGAACTTTTACATTAGGTTGTGACTGAGTCTCGGGCCCAAATATCTGGGGAAGCTCTGTTTGGTGATGGGTTCTTAGGACTTATCCACCTCTTCTGCACCTGATTGAGGGCATCCGGAGTTTGCCATGCCCTCAGTGGCAGCTCCCTTGAGATGTCATCTCAGTCTTCAGGTCAGATGACAAAGGTGTTCCCTCCTTCCGTGAGTCCCATCCTTGTATCCTGTCCTGTTGGTGGCCCTCCTTCTGCATTGCTATGTCCTAGTTTCCTCTCCCTTTGTTGGTAACCCTCCTTCTGCAACACTGTGTCCTCATATCCTGTCTCCTGTTGGTGGCTTCAGGACTGGCACTCAGCCAAGGCCCCAAATGCTGATTTTGGTGCAGGCTAGTCAGGAAGTGTTAAGTATAGGTTTGAGTGGACAGGCCAGGCTAGAATCCTGACTCTGTGACTGAGCTGAGAGGTGTAGAAAGGGTCTCCATCAGTGCAATGTGGAGAGGAGGCAAACTGGTCTCATGGGTCACAGATGTGGATACAGGACCTGGATATCCCTCCAGGGGAGATCACACCCATGGCCATCTAGATTTTCTGCTGTATTATTTTTTATTTTATTTTATTTTATTTTTTTTTACATTTAGTTCTATTTTGAGTTCATTTTTGTGAAGAGTGTAAGGTCTGTTTAGATGTGTTTTTAGTAGGTGGACATCCAGTTGTTTCATTTGTAGGGAAGGCATTTTTTGGTCCATCCTGTGGCTTTGGCTCCTTTGTCAAAGAACAGCTGACTGTCTGGGTCATTTGCCCGTTGGTCTCTTCTTTCACCAGTACCACACTGTCTTGGGTACTACACTTTAGAATCAGTTGTTAATGTACTCAAAATAACTTGCTGTGGGGACTGCAGGTGACATGGTGGTTAAGGTGCTGGATCCTACATGGCCAACTACATGGTTTGAATCCTGAACCTGGCAGTTTGAAAATCAGGCCAGGCATGTGTGCATGCATTAAATAACTTGCTGAAATTTTGATTGGGATTGCATTGAATTTATAGATCAAGTTGGGAAAAACTGAGATTTTTGACAATATTGAGTCTACCCATGAACATGGAATATCTCTATTATTTATAATAGTTATTTGATTTCTTTCATTAAATTTTTATAGTTTTCCTTGTATAGATTTTGTACATATCTTGTTGGATTTGTTTAATTTTATTCATAATTATTTATTTTTAAAATTTGATGAGAGAGAAATAGGGGGTTGAGAAAACAAGCCACCAGCTCTACAACTTGAACTGCAGTCAGCCATGTGGGAGTCCAGTGCCTTAACTACCATGCTACCTGTCAGCCAGCCCCCCATATCTTGATAGGTTTGTACCTAAGTGTTTCCTTCTGGTGTTAATGTACGTAGCACTGTATCTTTTTTTTTTTTTTTGGAGAGGTTTTTGCTATAGGGTGCGTGTGCTCACCAGAGAGACAGAGAGAGACAGAGAAATAGAGAGCGAGAAATCACTCCCCAGGGGGATGGCCATGCTGCAATCCCTTCTCCTCCATTCTCCTCTTGGGATCTTGGGCACGCACGCACACGCACATGCCCGGCGTGAGTTTAAGCCACTGGGTCCGGGACTCGAACCGCGGTCGGCTACATGGGAGTTCAGCGACATAGCCATTACACTAACTGCTGGTCCCAGTAGTATTGTATTTTTAATTTCAAATTCTCGTTCATTGTTGGTATACAGGAGAGCGATTAACTTTTGTTTATTAATCTTATAACTTGCAGCCTTCCTATAATTACTTATTAGTTGTAGGAGTTTTTGTTATGGTGGTGGTTGTTGATGCTGTTCTTTTAGATTTTCTACATAAACAATGTCATCTATGGAGATCAGAGATAGGTTTTTTTCTGTACACCTTTCCTTTTCTTTCTTTCAGAACAGGTTTTTATCTGTACACCTTTCCCTTCCTTCTTTCAGATTAGCTAGGACTTCCAGTGTGATTCCAGTTCTTCCCTATCCCTAGTTACCTTAGAGTTTTTAAATGAATAGTTGTTGCATTTATTGCTTTTTGTACGTGTATTGACATGATTATGTGATTTTTTTTCTTTCGTCTACTGATATGAAGGATTACATTAATTGATTTTTCAGATATTGAAAATTCTTATATACCTGCAGTAAAGTCCACTTGGTAGTGGTGTATAATTATTTTTGGAGTTGATTTTCTTTTTTCTTCCTTCTTTTTAAAAATAATTATTAATTTAATTTAATTTAATTTATTAATTTTTTTCTTTTTTGGGAGAGGTTTTTGCTATAGGGCATGTGCACTCGCCAGACAGACAGAGAGAGACAGAGAGACAGAAAGTGAGAAATCACCCCCCGGGGGGGATGGCCACGCCGCAATCCCTTCTCCTCCATTCTCCTCTCGGGATCTTGGGCACGCACGCACACGCGCCCGGTGTGAGTTTAAGCCACCAGGTCCGGGACTCGAACCGCAGTCGACTACATCTTAATCCTTAGCTCATATTTCACTGGCCAATGCAAGCAACCTTTTTACACCTAATTTCAAATGGACAGGAAAGGATAGTGTACCAGGAGATAAGGGAGAACATGAGTAATAGCTACCACAGTGGTTGCTGGTCACTTTTTTTTTTTTTTTTAATTTGCCAGAATGTATGTGCTCGCTGGAGAGAGAGAGAGAGAGAGAGAGGGCTAGAAAGCACCCTGACCCACATGAGGAATGGTCATGCTACAATCTGTCTCCTCTGTATCTCTCCCCTTTCAGGATTTGGTGCATGCATACATGCCTGCTGTTTCTTTCCTTTTTTTTTTTTTTTGGAGAGGTTTTTGCTATAGGACTCGTGTGCTCGCCAGAGAGACAGAAAGCGAGAAATCACCCCCCAGGGGGATGACCACACTGCAATCCCTTCTCCTCCATTCTCCTCTCTTGGGCACACACACATACGTGCCCGGCATGAGTTTAAGCCACAGAGTCCAGAACTCGAACTGCAGTCAACTACATGGGAGTCCAGCGACAAAGCCATTACGCTAACTGTTGGTCCCAACCTGCTGTGTTTCTAAAGCCACTAGGAGCAGGATTGGAATCGCACAGTCTGTTCGGTATCTAGCTGCCTTAACCCTAGAATACACGGTGGCCCTGGATTAGATTTCTACTGAAATTTTCTTGAGTATTTCTGCATTGTGTTACTACTGGATGGACCTGAACACACCAGGCATACTGACATATGCCCATGATCTCGGGAGGCTGGGGCAGGTCACAGTGTGATGAGTACCTCTCTCCCCATTCCCTCAGATTAAAAAAAAAAAAAAAAAAAAATCTTTGCTATTTCTAACAAGTGATATCCCTGCCACAGCTGGATCTGATTCTGATGTTTGGTTTACTTTTTTAAAACTTTGCTTTTTGTGCCTTATAGTGGTTTGTTGAAAGGCAGATAGGACATGCTAGATGACAGGAATTGTTGTAAATAAGTCTCTAGTGATGTAGTGGTGAGGTGTGTGGAAAGAGATGAGTTCCACAGTCCTGTGATTGGGTCCCTATCATTTAGAGAGCTTGTGCCCTGAGCTGTGACCATCTCAGGTCCCTTCCTTGGTAGGACAAGATAGCTTGAGGGAGCTGGAGTGGTGTTTCCTTCTTCCAGGTGATTAGGTTCTAACAAAACCCCAACAGGTCAGAGACTGAGAGAACTGTCTCTCGCAGGCAGACCTTGTTGAGAAGGGTGCAGTGTTCTCAGCATTTCAGAATGGCTCTTTTCTCCCTCCCATGCAGAAGCACAAATGGATTTTCCTTCCATCTTACTATGAGAATGTAATGGGGCCCCTGAAGGTAAAACGCACAAAAGTGTGACGGTCCCCTCTTACTGTGTCCCCTGGGAGTTTTGTTTTTAAGTTTATTTCTCTCTCTCATGAGAGCAAGAGACAGAGAGAGAAGTACCCTCAGTGGGTCTCATGCCATGAGTCTCCCACTCTCACTCTTCCCAGCCAGGGCCATGGTGCATGCACCTGGTGTGTGCAGGTCTACTGGGAACCACACCTGTAACCCTCCGCACAGATCTAACTTTGCTCAAGCACTGCATTGCTGCCGTGCTGGTGGGCTGTTCCTGTACCCTCAGGGCATTCACGCTCATTCTTGTCCACACTGAGTTTTAACACATGCACAGGCTCTCATGACCCACCATGACCAGGGCCCAGGGCAGCTGACACCCTTACTGAGCAGGGGCATGTGTGGGTCACACAGCTGTCAGTGCAGCACCAAAGAACCTACCTGGTGGGTCCAGTTGAGTGGAGAATGAGCTGGGGTCACCCATTGGGGACCTGTGCCTTTCCTGAGCAGGCATGTGCTCTCTGACAGGACCAGGGCTGAGCCGACCCTCTGTGATGGCCACTGGACATTCAGCTTTTGGATTCCATTTCTGGAAATTGGTATCCCTGTGTCTTTCTCCCGGGAGTTTGCAAGGGCTGCCTGCTGCCTCTTCCAAGCCAAGCTGCTGAGGGTCCAGGGCTCCTTCAGCCCCTCCTGCTCCCTTCTGCTGCCCTTCCTGGAAGCCCACTGCTGCTCTGACCCCCTGATTGACTCTTTGCTGCCCTCCTCTGGTTCTATCTCATGTCCCTTGGGTCCCCTTGCTCCTCTTGTCCTGTGTGTGCTATTGTCCTCTTTTGCCTCCAGTCAACACTCCAGTGGCAGCTTAGAAACTCCAGTGGCTCCCTGTGGCCTGTAGGAGAAAGTGTCATCCTCATGGGTCTCTGAGGCCCTTTATGACCTGTCCCTGCCCTCTTCCCATTGCTCTTTAGAGCAGACCAAGCCCCTGTGGCCATGTCTGGGCCCCCTGCAGTGCTCCCATACTCCTAGACACCACTCTTAGGGCTTTCATGATGGTCGTTTTGCTTCCCTCTGACTTGGATCTCCCTTTCTGACTTCACCAGTGTGTCTGCTTATCTTAAGCTCCTAAGCAGGTGAGACCAGCACCTTGTCTTGCTCCTTCCTGCCATCCCACGAGGCCCACAACCTGGTGTTCAGGAGGAAGACTGGATTAACCTTAGCCACCATGCCAAATAAAATGCCTCCCCACCCCTTTGCCCAACTAATGCTTCCCTCCCTTTAGACATAGTTCAAGGCCAGCTCAAGGTCCAGCTCCCCCAGGAATTCTATAGTGATACCTCCCTCCTTGGAATACCCCAGCCTCTCCTGGCCTCCAGCACTTCCTGGGCTGTGGGGAGCTTCCCTGTGGACGAGGTGTATCCTGAAGGTTAGGCTCGGTCTCTTTTGCAGCAGGCACGCCAGTGGGTGGAAGGGGGGGACAGTGCTGGGAAGGGGGCAGTCCTGGGCTGAACTGGGTAGGAAAGTAGGTGCCTCTGCTCTCAGGGAGAGGAGACAGCACTGGGGACAGGGCTTAAATGTGGACTTTGGTGGCAAGAACACAGGGCCTTGAGGGAATGTGGGAAGAGCTGGCCCTCTGCAGTGAGGCTCTGGGCATGGCTGTCTTGGTTCTAATGACGTGCCTATGGTTAGGCAACAGTGGTCGGGCTCATGGTAGAGGCAGGTCCAGTGGTGGTTGGTTGATCAGGGTGCCAGCACATGGGCCAGCAGTCTTAGCAGGAGATGAGGAGGGGGTTGTTGAGCACAGCTGGTGCAGAGGTTGGTGTAGAGGGCTGTCCCTGCAAGAGCTTGCAGCCAGCCAAGGCTTGGTACAGGGCGTCCAGGGTTGCCGAAGGACCAGCTCTCCTTTCTGGTTGGACAGATGGGCAGGAGGGCAAGGTCAGTCTGCCTCCTCCAGGATCACTGTCATGCCAGTATCCCTCCCCAGCCTGCCAACCACCACCCTGTCTTGTCTGTCTTCTGCTAAGGACCGGGGGAAGGGCTTCTTGCAAATAGTTCTAATTTCCTCCTTGGTACCTGACCATTCAAGGTACTGGACACACCCAAGTCCTGCCCAAAGATGCCAGTGAGGTTGCAAGCCAAGGCTATGCCATCAGTCCACCCGTTAGCCTGTGAGGCACTTTGGGGCAGGAGTCCGGCCTTGCTCCTTCTGGCTGCTCTGGGCATAAACTGGCACTGATGAGAGTCTTAACAGCAGGGGCTGCATGTTTAAGGCTGTGTGCATGGCTAACACCTGACCCTTTGTGCCTCAGTCTCCTCTGTGGAATGGGAAAGCCCTTCCTTGTGGGGCTATTGTAGGACTCAGGGAGTTAAAGGCATCTGGGGCTTCTGCCAGTGCCTGGCCCATGGTGAACTCATGACAGCGGCTGCCAGTCTTCCCAGCTCTCTTGCTGGCTCGCCCACTCTGGCTTCTGTGGATCCTCTCCTTGTCTATTCCCACTTTCTGCACTTGTTAAGTACCACATTCGACTTCCCAAAGCCTGTTTCTGATTGTACCAATTGCAGGTATTCAGAGTTGTAACAGAGAAGACATTTTAAAGATAGACACTTAAGACAGGGAGTGCTGGACTTCCTAGTCAGGACGTCCTCCGGCAGCACTCCAGGCTCTGAGAGATGGGCACTCCTACCGTGTGCAGGGTCCCTGCAAGCATCCAGCGTGCTCAGCAAGATCTTCCCCAGGGCTCTTTTTGATATGTTCTTAAAAAGAAAAGGAACAGGACTGGAGCAGACCATGACCACTGGGTTCTCCAGCAGCAGGTGGTACCTGGTGGCCCCTCTGGGCATCTGTGCAGCTCCCCAGGGACAGATAAAGCCCCTCCCCCATCATCCTTTCTAGTTCCTTACCCTGAGGCTGCTCACTGGGTTTCTCATACTGGGTGGAGGGAGCTGCGTGCAGGAGCATGTATGTAAGGGTTACACTTCACGTGCCCATGTAGGCACTGGGAAGTAAGCATTTGCTCCTTGCAATGACTTGTTTTATTAAGCCCATTTAGCCAGCAAAATGAGCAGTGCTGAGAAAGATTCAGCAATTCGCCCAAAGCCAGCCAGCTGGGAGGAGGGAGGACCAGCGTCTATCCTAGTCTGCAAGGCCTTCCTGCCCTCCTTTTCAGCTCTCTCTGCTTGCCCTGGCTGTGTGATACTGAGCATGACCTCACAGCTGGTTGTCCTAGGCAGCCCAATGGACAAGAAACAGTTGCTCAGAGCCTTGCAGGCCAGGGTAATTCTGCTTGTACCTCATGTTGGCTGTATAATACTGGGAAGGTTAACAGATCCCTTATTTTATTTTTATTTTTTTCTTTTTTAAGAGAGATTTTTGCTATAGGGTGCATGCCCTGGCCAGAGAAAGAGAGACAAAAAGCGAGAAATCACCCCCTAGGGGCATGGCCATATTACAATCCCTTTTCCTCCATTCTTCTCTTGGGATTTTGGGTGCACCTGCACACACACACATGCGTCCGGTGTGGGTTTCAGGATGCTGGGTCTGGCACTTGAAATGCAGTTAACTACATGGGAGTCCAGCGATGTAACCGTTACACCATCTGCTGGTCCCGATTTTTTTTTCCTTTTTAATAGTTTAATAGTTTGATGGTTTCTGGATCCTGATTTTTTAATCAGCCACCTTGCCAAGGGATTATATAATTTGTCTGTAGACTCTCTGAGGGAGTTCTAGGTAGATTAATATGATGTCACTTAATGATAGTTTGTTTCTTCCTTTCTAATCTTTAACTCTTCTTTCTCCTGTCTTGCTAAATGGGCTAGAACCTCTAGCTGGACACAAGCAGTGATTCTTGTCTTGAACCTGACTTCAGAAGGATTCCTCCTAACTTTTTGCCAGTCTGTGTAAGATTTGTAAGAAGTATTTGGTCTGGACTCCTCATCAGGTTAAGGAAGATCTCTACTATACTTAAACATTGCTGAGAGATTTTATAATCAAAGAAGATTGTGTTCTATTAATTGCCTTTTCTGTGTCTATCGACATGATCATATAGTTTTCCTCCTGTAATCTGCAACACAGTGTAATAGTTTTTTATTTTTTATTATTTTTTTTATTTGACACAGGGTGTGTGCACTTGCCAGAGAGAGAAAATGAGAAATCATCCCAGGGGGGGATGGCCATGCTGCAGTCCCTTCTCCTTTTGGGATTTCGAGCATGCACATACATGTGCCTGGTGTGTTTTTTAAGCTTCTAGGTCTGGGACTTGAATCACACAGTAAGCCATGTGAGATCCAGCCACCTTATCCACCATCCCACTGGTTTGCCCAGTGGTAATAAATTTTTCTGGTATAGAATCATCTTTAAATTCCTAGAATAAATCCAACTTGGTTGTGTTGCATTTTCTTGAACAATGCTGGATTTGGTTTGTTAGAATTTTATTTAATAATTTTGCATCATGATTAAATGTGATGTTAGCTTATAATTTTACCTTCTGGTATCTATTCTCTCTTTAAAAAGGGTTTATTTAGGGACCAGTAGTTAGTGTAATGGCTATGTCGCTGGACTCCCATGTAGTTGACCATGGTTTGAGTCCCAGACCCGGCGGCTTAAACTCACGCTGGGTGCATGCGCGTGTGTCCAAGATCCCGAGAGGAGAATGGAGGAGAAGGGATTGGCGTGGCCATCCTTCCTAGGGGGTGATTTCTTGCTTTCTGTTTCTCTGTCTCTCTCTGTCTTTCTGGCGCCCTATAGCAAAAACCTCTCCAAAAAATGGGTTTATTTATTTGTTCCACGAGAGAGGGACAGGGACGGAGAGGCATCCCAACAGGGTTTTCACATCACAATCCCAAGCCAACTTCAGCCAGCTTAGATCATGAACATGCACGAGTGTGCCTGGCATGTTAGGGAGATCTTAGAACATGGACTGAGGATCTTCCCATGGAGTCCAATTGTGTTATTGCTGCATCACTATCTGGCCCCTTCCCCTTTGGTTTTGATATCACGGTTAGGGTAGCTTCATAAAATGATGTGGGAGCCTTCCTGACTCTTGCTTTAAAATTGGCTTCTTGAGGGAACCAGCAGTTATCATAATGGCTATGTCGCTGGACTCCCACGTAGTTGACCGCGGTTCACGTCCTGGACTCAGTGGCTTAAAACTCACACCGGGTGTGTGTGCATGCATGCCCAAGATCCTGAGAGGAGAATGGAGGAGAAGGGATTGCGTGTGACGGTCCGCCCTGGGGGGTGATTTCTCGCTTTCTGTCTCTGTGTCTCTCTCTGTCTGGCGAGTGCACGCACCCTATAACAAAAACCTCTAAAAAAAAAATTGGCTTCTTGGGGCCTCCATTTCTGCATCTGTAAAATGGGTCAACACCCGTCCACATGAGGAAAGCCCAGAGCCTAACACCAGCAGGGGCTCCCTGAGAGCTCCTTTGATTCCCTTGGGGGAGTAGCGCCCGTGAACTTACCAGGTCCCGGAGCCTCTGCAGAAGCTGGAGCACATCTACCAGCTTCTCCTCCATCAGGGACAGCCGCACCCTCTCGGTCTCCACCACCTGCAGCTCCAGCCTCAGGTGTTCATTCTCTTCCTTCTTCCACTCTGGCTCTGCCTGTGAGATGAGGTGCACACTCACCTTGCTGTCCCACCCTGGTCCTCATGGCCCCCTGCCACTTTGACCTGTTCTCAGAGATCGTCTGGTTTGGCCTCTCCAAGCCTGCCAAGTGACGGGGCAGATAAAGCAGTCCATCTCTGAGACCAGCACTACAGCTCAGAGAAACTGAGAGCCTGACCTAAATTGGCACAGCGAGTTGGGCTGGTGTAAGAGTATGTGTTTTTTATTTTCTAGTCCAAGGACTTCTTGCTGTCTGATTTCCTTTCCTTTCCTTTTTATTTATTTATTTATTTTTTGGTAGTAAGTGTGTGCTGGTGAAGCCACAGAAACAGTCTGGCTCACACAGACAGGTAGTCTGTGGCAGGCTCATGGCCTGGCTGCTGGAGAGCCTCAGGAGAGGGCCAGCAGCTGCTCACCCTGGGGCTGCAGCTGAGTGGACACTCTCCAACCATCCCTACTGTCTCCACTCCCTCCAGCAGGAGGGACTCGCTTCTAGGACAGTGATCACACAGCTCACTATTAGATGGTGCTGTTGTCATTGCCATTTAGCAGGTGCAGAAGAGTCATGTGATTCCCAAGGCCATACAGGTGACTGAGCCAGGGTTGGACCCCAGCAGTGTGGCTGCAGCTCACACACCAGACTGTGCCCTAGTGACTCTGAGCTTAGGGTTGTCAGGGCTGCCCCAGGTGAGGTGCTCCCACAAGACAGAGGTTCCAGAGGTTGATGCTGTGGACCTTGGCTCTCTGGGAGGCCTACATGCAGCCCCAATGGCCTGCCAGTTAGTGACTGCCACCTTTGTCTCCTTTTGCCAATCCTAACAAAACGTTTGCATGATCTTGGTCTTTGGCTAATTTATTGTAGCGCTCAAGAACCGGCTTTTTTCTTTTTTGGTTGTTGGTTCATATTCTGAGACTGGAACTTAAATGGGCCTCCTTGCTCTTTCCTACCCATGAGTACTCAGCAGGTGGCCCCCAGAGAGTGGCAGAGCAGAGGGGTGGGCTTTGAAGCCTGTCCGCTTTGCTACGTTGGGGACTCTCTGGGTAGAAAATCAGAAGAGGCATGTCAGGGCCTCCCCCGATGACACGTGCTGTGCACATCAAGGGGACCTTTTCACTGATTACCATTTATGGGACTAGGGCTGCATCAGACCACACACATGTAAAACAGCACAGGTTGGGACCTTGGTGTGGAAGTGTAAACTGTCACATCCGAACCAGAGCCGCACATGTGCAGATCCAGGGTGAGCGAGTACTTTTAGCTGTGCTGTGTGTTCGGCTGTTGTAGAACGGAAACCTACCGAGTGGCCTTTTTGCCATGGAGACAGCTGGATGCCTCACATTCCTTCCTGCGTCTCTTTGGGACACATTCCCTTTTCTCTGGGAAGCTGCCCCAGCTCCACCCCAGGGATCGACCCAGGGACAGGCACATGACTGAGGCTGGATCAACCAGAGTTCCTTCCTTGAGATTTTGGTGTGTTGGGGGCGGGGGTTCTGACCCGGGCAGTGGAGCAGTAGCTGGCTGAGGCAGGGAGTGAGGCCAGAGCCCAGAGACAGAGTGGACCACTAACATGGTCCAGTCTGAGTCCTCATGCAGGCCTTGTTCTCAGCCCTGTAGCGCTAAGTCTGGGATCCTTTCACTTGGAACCAAAGGTTTATCACTGAATGCAGCTCAGAGGAGACACAGGTCCTTGTGGGGTTCTGCTTACGCATCTCTGATTGAGGCACAGGGCTTGGCTGCATCCCTTAAGTCCTCTGGTCGGAATTCCAGAACCAGCCCAGCCCTGACCTCTGTGACCTCGGGCTCTGCTGACCTCCCCAGGGATCCCCAGGTTCTTCTCCACCAGCATGGCGACATGGGCCTCCAGCTCTCCCAGAGCGTGTGTGTGGTCAGCTCCACCAAAGTGTCCGAAGTGTGTCCTGAGCTTCTGGGCTGTCTGGTCGTCAGGCCTGCAGCAGAGGAGGGCGGCACTGGGGAGCTGCTCCCAGCCTGCCTGGTTATCCCAGGCTTTCATCTCCTAGAGACAAAGCCAGGGCTTGCCCCTCCCTGCCCCCCCCCCATTGCTCAGGAAGCCAGAGGTACCTGACCTCCAGCACTCTCTTGGCCACAGCCACCTCTGCACGAGCCCCGGGGCCTTTGACATTACAGTCCCTCCTTGGGTAGCACTGTTCCCCATCACCCACTTATCCCAATGTGTCTGAGCTCTCTGCTCAGCACCTTCTCAGAGGGGCCTCCTCATCTCCATCCCTCTCCACTTCTTACTAGATCAGGGGGGTCAGGAGAACAAGCCCCCCCCTTCTATGTGTTGATGTTTTCCCAGCACCCCAGAGTTTGCCTTGCAGAGTAAGAACTTAATAAGTGCTTGTCATTGACATAAAGAATTGGAAACTGGGCCACCTGTTTGGGTGGTTAAGGTGCTGGTTCCCACATGGCAGACTCCTGGTTCAAGTCTTGAACCCACTGGCTTAAAAATCATGCCAGATATGTGTGCATATGTGCCCCAAATTCTGAGGAGAATGAAGGAGAAGGGGTTGCAGTGATCACCTCTGAAGGGTGATTTCTTACTTTCCCTCTCTCTATCTCTTTTTGTCTATCTCTATCTCTCACTGTCTCTTGTGAGTGCACGCGCCCTAAATCAAAAAATAAATAAATAAATAAATAAAGTTGGCAAAAACCACCACCCCTGGGAAACCATAACACTTTACACTTTCAAAAAATGAGGGACCAGCAGATGGTGTAATGGTTATGTCACTGGATTCCCATGTAGTTGACCGTGGTTTGAGCCCCAGACCTTAAAACTCATGCCAGGCACATGTGCATGAGCACTCAAGATCCTGAGAGGAGAATGAAGAAGGGATTGTGGCATGGCCATGCCCCCAGGGGGTGATTTCCTGCTTTCTCTCTCTGGTAAGAGCATGCACACTCTCTCTCAAAAAAAAAAAAAAAAAAAAAAAGGCTGTTGTGTCCCCGCAGAGCACCTGGTCCCTGTTAGAATTTTATACCTCTAGTCCTTGCAAAGCCCCTGCCAGCCGGTGTCAGTGTTCCATCTTACAGAAGACAGGATGGAGACTAGAGAAGGCAGTTGTTGGAGGCCCTGGGCATCCTGGTCTGTCTTCATCTCCTCTGATGTGGTCATGAGGGTTGCTAGAGTTTAGAAAGTCCCAGCCCAGGGACCAATGGAGGGGGCTCTGAGGGCCACACAAATGCCCAGGAGTGGCTGAGGGCTTTGCAGCTTGTCCTAGCACCAGGACCAGAATCAAAGCCACCATGACATGTAGCCCATCTTGAAGCCCATCTCATTCATCCTTGCATACACGGGGTGATTCTATGGCTGTTATGTCTCCCCTTGGACATACAAGGTGTTCCTGCTGTTATGCTCATTCTTGCACATGTGGGGTGGTCACTCTCGCACATGCAGAGTGGTTCTGCTGTCATAATCACTTGCACACATGAGATATCACCCTCACACCTGCAGGGTGGTCCTGCTGCCTTTATGATCACTCTTGCATGTGCAGAGTGGTCCTGCCACCTTACCACCAAGGGACAGCCTTTGAGGGGCTGGGGTGACCGTGCAGTGCCTGATGAGGATCCTGGGCTTCCTGGAATAACTCAGAGCCTGAGGCCACGGCCAGCAACCTACCTGCTCATGCAGCTGGACAGCTGAGCCAACAGTGTCTTGGTCAGGGATGCTGGGGACCTTTGCCCCTCACAGCACACCTTTGCCTCCTCCTCCTCCTGGTCGGAGGCTGCCTGGCCCTCTACAGAGCGGAACAGCTGATCTTCCATGTCTCCTG